CAAGCAGTCTCATGTTAAGTAGAATTCCAAAATGAGAGAAGAGAAAGAAGTAAAAAAGTCTTTGAAGAATTATATGAAATTGATAAAAAAACTATTAATCTACATAAGTACTAAGATCATCATACCTTAAGCATGATAATCAAATTTCTAAAAACCATTGGAGGGGAAAAAATTAAATACCAAGAGAAAAAAGACACATGAAATATAGGTGATAAAGATGAGAGTGTCTCGTCACAAACAGTGTAAGCCCGAAGATAGTATATTGAAATCTTTTTAAGTACTGGAGAAAAACAAACAATAATAAAAAACCCTCCAAAATAAGCAGACCAGCAGCTGTTAACCTAAATACTAAATTTAGCAAAAAATATTTTTCAGAAATGAAAGCAAAATAAAGTAGTTTTGGCCAAACAAATGCTGACTTACAAGACTCAATGTTTTCATTTTTGTGTAAATGGTAAGATACTCTCTTTTTCAGTCATGTTCGTGGGGCATGCTATCTGCTTTTTGTGTTTAAAATGTTCTTTATGGGATTGTATTTATCTTTTATGCAGCCAAATTTATTGATCTTATTTGTGAAGATATTCTGATTTTGGGCAGTAGACCAGGCTCGGATATGATAGTCTATCTACACTTTGTGTTATTATAATGTAATTTTGGGAAAATTGTTTTTGTAAGTCCTGAGCTTCATTTCTAGGTCTTATTGAACAGTCTTGATTTGTTACAGGATATAAGAATGTTTCTTGATATGACTTTGAAGTGCCCTTTAAAATTTATGTTTGAGGAATGGACAATGAGAATAATTTATTTCTCTGTAGTTAGACTTCTTCAAAGTAACTTTTCAAATTTTCAAGACGTTAAATGAAGTATTATTTTGAAATTCTTATTTAGACATGTAAAATCGTTGTTTGCTAATGCTTGGAATTACAAAGTCGGCCAGCATTTGTGTTGAAAATGTCTTTTGGTATTTTATTTCATGCACAGATTAAATAGGAGTCACAGAACGAAGTTGTTGAACTGGGCTATGAAATGTCATACGTCTACTTCACCAGATGCTGTGTTTTAGTACTCAGTCTTTGACAAGTTGACTCAGGAGTTAACTTGTCATTACTTGTTCTCTACCCCTCACTAGTTCACAAGGAGACAGCTAAACTTGTCATCATGGGATTTCTTCCGACTAGAAAGAAAATTTAAAGTTTGAAATGTGCACAGTTGATGGCAGAAGTAGACTCGTATTGCAGGAGAGTTGCTCCATTTTTTATTTCTTTCACTACTTGCTAAAATACCACTGTGCCTGTTTGTTTAGAAGTAAACAGTATCAAATGTTTTGTATATATTTAAAGTATCAAATTAAAAAAAAAAACTAAGAATCAAAGAAAATTAAAACTTTCTCTTTACCTGAACTCCTGAATTTAGAAGGTCATAATTTTGATTGTCTACATAATATGGGGCTTGATATTTCTCAGGGAAGTTACTTGAGTTACATAGTTTGAGTTAGACAAATGTACCCAGCAAAAGAAGGCTTTTGAGCTGAAGGTGATGTGAGATGAACAAAAAGGCTAAAAGCATATCAGCAATATTACAGTATCAGATTTCCTCAAAAAGGAAATTAGGGAAACAGGAGGTCAGGGCAGCTTTAGTTCTGTGGAGAATAAGAACAATAGATACAGAGATCAGAAAGCAAGAGATGAAAATTAGAGGCATGCATGTCAGGAAAGAAGTAGTTCTAGCAAGTTCAGAAGATTTAAGTAATGTGGGTGCTAGTAGATGCTGGTAGCTTTGTCTTCTTAGAGAAACATTTATAGAAAAAAAAACTGAAGGAAAGAAAGGTGGACTTTTCTTTTTAAATTAGGGCTAGTGAATTATTGGGAACATAAAAGATGAGCACCCACTCCCCCCCCCCAAAAAAAAACAAAAGTGTTCTACAGCTCATTTTTTTCTTTTTAGGTTGAATCCTAAGTAGCTCTCTGAGTTTGCAATCAAGATTAAATAGTTTTACTTTGGTAGAAATATATTTATAAAGACATCAGCCATTACTTTAAACTTGTGTTTGAAGTCAAATTTCAATTTTTTAAATTTTTATGTTTTAAAAGATTTTATTTATTTACTCATGAGAGACACAGAGACACAGGCAGAGGGAGATGCAGGCTCCATGCAGGGAGCCCGACATAGGACTCGATCCCGGGTCTCCAGGATCACGCCTTGGGCTGAAGGCAGGCACTAAACCGTTGAGCCACTCGGGCTGGCTGAAATCAAATTTTATATCTAGAGATAGGACTTTAAAATTGTGACATACCACTAAATACTATGCACTATGCTAATGACTAGAGATACCAAAATACAGTGAATAATAAGGTGGTTGCCAGAGAGTAGGAGGGTGAAGGGATGGAGAGAAAGGGGGAAGGGTACAAACTAAGTAGAAAATACAGGTACAAACTTCCTGTATTTAAAATAATGAGACAGGAGATACAATAAGACAGGAGATACAATGCACTGCACAGGGAATACACTAATATGTAATAATCCTTTAAGGTGACAAATAGCAGGCAGATTTAGTATGGCGATCATTTCACTATATATACATAAATATTGAATTACTATGTGTACACCTGAAACAACATTACATGTCAGCAACATTTCAATAAAAAAATTTAAAAACAAATTGATAAATAAATGCAAAGGGAATGGCGTCATTTCCTAATCATTTCTCTCTACAACTGTGGAGTTTTCAAGATTAAAAAGCCTTTATGATCTAGATAATATTTTTCCCTCCAATTCTGCCAGTCTCCTATACTAAAGACACACATTATAAAAAAAATCAGGGATGCCTGGATGACTCAGGAGTTTAGTGCTACCCCTTCAGCCCAGGGTGTGATCCTGGTATCCCAGGATGGAGTCCCACGTCAGGCAAACTGCACGGTGTCTGCTTCTCCCTCTGCCTGTGTCTCTGCCTCTCTCTGTGTGTCTCAAATCAATGAATGAATGAACAAACGAATGAATGAATGAATAAAAATTTTAAAAAATCATATTTTGCTGCAACAAATATTTCCTGATCTTTGGCTGGCTATTTCAACTCTCCCCCAAGTGTATTCCTGATAATCCTCCCTGATGCTCTAACCCTAATGTCCGGATGCTTATTATCAACAATGTTGCAGTGAATCATAGAGGTGCATATATCTTTTCGAATTAGTGTTTTCATATCTTTTTTTCAGATAAATACCCAGAAGTGGAATTGCTGGATTTTATAACATTTCTATTTTTAATATTTTGAGGAGCCTCCATACTGTTTTCTATCGTAGCCACACTGCTTTGCATTCCTATCAGATGTGCATGAGGGTTCCCTCTGTTTCCCATCCTCACCAACACTTGCTTTTGTCTTTTTGATACTTGCCTTTCCGACAGGTGTGAGGTGATAGCTCATTGTGGTTTTGATTTGCATTTCCCTGTGATGAGTGATGTTGAGCAACTTTTCATGTGTCAGTTGGCCATCTGAAGGTCTTCTTTGGAGAATGTCTGTTCAGGTCCTCTGCCAGTTTTTTAATTGGATTGTTTGGGCTTTGTTCTTATTTTTCTAGTTCCTGTAGGTGTAAGGTTAGATTGCTAACTCATGATTTTTTATAAATTCTTAAGGCAGCTCTTTATTGCTTTAAACTTCTGTCTTAGAACTGGTTTTGCTGCATGTTATAGATTTTTTACTGTTGTGTTTCCATTTTCATTTGTTTCCGTGTATTTTTTAATTTCCTCTTTGATCTCTTCATTGACAGTTTGGTTGTTTAGTAGCATGTTATTTAGCCTCTGTGTGGTTATATTTTCACCAGTTTTCATGTTGTGATTGATGTCCAGTTTAATACCACTGTGGTTGGAAGACATGCCTGAAATGATTTTAGTCTTCTTAAATTTACTTAGATTTGTTTTGTAGTCTAACATGAGAATTGTCCTAGAGAATGTTGCATGTGCACTGGAAGAGACTTTATTCTGCTGTTTTTGAGTAGAATGTTCTGTATATATCTATTAAGTACATCTTCTCTAACACGTTGTTTTCTTATTGAACTTCTGTCTGGATGATATATCCATTGATGCATGTGGGATGTTAAAGTCCTCAATTATTGTGTTACTGTCAATTTATTCCTTTATGTCTTAATATTGGCTTTTTATGGTTAGGTGTCCATATGGGGGGTGCACAGATATTTATAAGCCTTCTACTCTCTTGTTGGGTTGATCCCTTTATCATTATGTTATGTTCCTTTTTTGTTGGTTGTTACATTTTTTTGTTGTTTTAAAATCTGAGGCCCCCCAAAAGTTCATAACTTGTCCAAGATCACAAAGGAAGTAATAAGAGTGAAAATTTGAATTTGGGAGATGATTACATTTTCCAGTCTCTTGGCTGCTTTATGCTTTTGCTTTTCAGTCATATGGAGATCTGATCTGTGAGATAAATTTGTAACTGGAGGTAGGGATTTGGGAGTTACCACCTCCAAGAGAGGGATGAAATCACTGGTCTGAGTGACATGTCTCTGCAGAATCCTTGGAGTTCATAGGAGTGCACTGAAGTTCAGAAAAGGAAGTGAGCTTGTATAGAAATTGAACGACCAGAAAGATAGGAGGAAAAGCCAGAAAGAATTGTATTACAAAAGCCAAAATGTATTTTTTTTCCTTAAGGAATGAAATCATTGAGTTCTAAAATCTTGAAAAATGTAGCCACAAAATCCAGTCACCCATGATGCTGGCCAGAGTAGTTTCAGTTCAGTTATTCAGAAACAAAATCGAAGGGGGTCAGGAAATGAAGGGAGGCAAGAGCATGAATTCAGAGAACTTCCTGTACTTCCTGGAGAGATGTGACTGCACAGGCAAAAGAGAGATTGAATGGAAGCTAGTGGTAGATGGAGGGTTTTTCTTCTCATGTTTGAGACAAGATCATATTTATATGGATGTAAGGATCATCTGTCTAGAAGCAAGAATTAAAAAACCCAAATTATAATTTGAAATGCTTTTAAACTTTACAGAACATTATACATCCATGGACATACCAAGTTGGATTTCACAGTCTGGCATACTGCAATTGAAAAAGCAGCAGGTACAGATGGTAATGCATTACAGGATCAGCAGCTCAGCAAAAATGACGTTCCCATTATTGTGAACAGCTGTATAGCATTTGTTACACAGTATGGTAAGTATCAGAGTTTTTATTCAACCCCCAGAACTCATAGTATCATTCTTAGAGTTTTGAAGTGGTACCTCTATTGGACTGCATTAGAGCTCTTTATATTTGTAAGTACATCAATGAAAAATAAAAATGTAGCCACTGTTCAGCCAAATGCCATTCCTTCTCCCAATAAAATTTAAATTACATAATGTACTTTTACTATTTTTTCTTTTACATGCATAAAAAATTTAAATGCCATATTGAAAGAATATTTTGTAAAATGCATACTAAAAATAGGTCGAGGACTATATTTTACAAGCCCATATAGTACATCTAGGGGGATGCAAATGGTTTCCTAATAAGCATGTCTTTAGAAGTGGTGAACAATATGTAAAAGAATTTATTTTTTTGGTGCTATATATTCAAAATATGTGTGCACTTATTCATTCAACATGCTATTGTTCACATTGTTTGCATTAAGAATCATGGTTATTGTGGTAGTTTGACATAATTTTAACAGGCATTTTTATAAATAGCTTGCAAATAAAAAACAACTGGTTGACACATGGTCTAGCTTCATTTTAATTTGATATGCTATGATAATATTTTAGATATACCTGAAAAGTAAAGTATGCTTTGATGCTTCATGTTTATTTTCAAATTCCTTTAAATCCTCAAATCCCTTCTGTTATATATTTCCTTAATACTATAAAAGATAGAAATTTGTTAACTATATTTTTAATATAAGAATGTTTTCTACCTGTTAATCTGTAGATAAGTGCCATTGATTTAGATTACAGATGTGGGAAAGTAAAATGATCGATCTTATATTTTGGAAGGCAATTAAATTTAATTTTTCTTCTCTCAATATTAGAAGTGTCCTTGGGTGTTTTTAATTTGAAAAGAACGTGTAATCAGTGAGAGAGCTGCAGTAAAACATGTGTTATTAGTTTGTTATTTATTTATTATCTGTTGTGTGCCAGCTATTGATCTTAGTACTGGAAATACAGCAGTGGGAGTAAAAAGTTAAAGACAAAGCTGTGAATCATGGGATTCAGTATGAGAACTGACAGTAAACTCATATGAGCAAAATGTCAGAAATAACAAAGGCTATGAAGAAAATAATTTTTAGAAATTAAATTTATAATATGTGTATATTAATTTATTTTCTTCTGGGGAGAGTACCATTTTAAGTATTTTGCTTATTTCATATGTATTCCAAGTACAGTTATCATAGATACTCAGATTTACTATGTTTGAATTATATACCTACTGTAAATATGTATGTTATCACATTATGTGGCTATTACTCTATGAAGTTCCTACCTGTGATAATAGGTCTATTATCCTTATCAATGGTAATCATTTGTTTATTTGAAAATGGAGGAGGAGGGAGGTTATCATCTTCATTTATTAGTCATTCAGTATTACCACACTTGAATTTCATAGGTATATAAATGAATTACACACATATTATGTTTTAGCAAGAGTGTAACCTCATTGGGAATTTTCACATCATGTTAGTTTCATAATGGCATAGGGTCTTTCTTAAGCTGAGAAATGATTAAAATAACTTTATTAGCTCTAGTGTATCCAATTTAATGTTTCTCTGGGGAAATCAGAATTTTCTTTGTGGTGTTTCTTTGAATTTAAAATCATTAAGCATTAGATTGTTTTCAACCAAATTTCATACATTAAAACTACTTTGTAACTCTGGTACAAGGTACATTAACTTGCATATTAAAGTAATAAAGCCAATGAAAGACTTTTTATGTTTTGTTTTGTTTTTAATGAGCAGAACATGGGGAAAACCTCAATGTTACCAGGATGTATAGAAAGGAAGATATCATATGCACTTACAAAATGCCTAGTGAGGGTGCTTGGGTGGCTCAGTGGCTTAAGTGTTTGCCTTCCCGCTCAGGTCCTGATCCCAGGGTCCTGGGATCAAGCCCCTAGTGGGGCTCCTTGCTCAGTGAAGAGTCTGCTTCTCCCTCTCCCTCTGCCCCTCCTCCCTGCTTGTGCTATCTCCTTTTCTCTTAAATAAATAAAATCATAAAAAAAGGAAAAGAAAGAAAGAAAGAAAATGCCTAGTGATGAACAGAATGCAAGTGGTTGACTCAGAGCTTAAACAGTTGCAATTATTTTGAACTTCATGACATTTGTATTAAAATCTGAAGGCCATTTTTTATGCTCATAGTGTCAAGGTTTGAACTTGACTGAGTTCACAAATTTTTAGAGTTTTAATTTTTTGAATGAATTATAGTAGTTAGTTTCGGGGAGAAATTATGTTCACATGCAGTTAACTTGAGTTAGCTATTAGTAATTCACTCAACTAAACATATCTCAAAAACTTAGTTTTTTTTTGTTTGTTTTTATAGAAGTTGCTTATAGTTGCTTATTCTCACATTAAATAATTTATTGAGCTTTTACTAAGTTCTAGCCACCATGCAGTTAACTGTATACAGAGAATAAGACATAATCTTTGCTTTCTGGATTTTTACAGATTTTTGAGTCAGAGACAAACCCCTGAGCAGTTAGATCTCAAGTGTACAAAATTCTATGGTAGAGAGGTTTAGAAATTGGTACAGGGTGAATTTCACCCTGAGTAGGGGTGTACATAGAGATTTTCATGGGTAAGATATAGTGCCCGCCATGATTAAGAGAAAACAGGAGCTAGTTAGGAGAAGAAGGGAATAGGAATTCTAGGAGGAGGAACAGTGTGTGCCCATGTATAGAGTCATGAGGGAAGTTGTCTGTTGAGGGAACTTTGTGTAGTTAAATGTGGTCAGAACCTAATGAAAGAAGAATGGGCGATAAGAGGCAAGAGGGTTAAGCTTATTTGTGTAGAGCCTGAAACATTGTAATATATACTCAGACTTGCCCTTGAGGCTGTGGGAAGGTAGTATGCAGATTTTAAAGCATGTTGGTAACACCAGCAGACGTGCATCTCAGAACAAGCTGTTATCAATGTGGAAGCAATCTGTAGGGCTACACAAGAGAAGGGTCAGGGTGTTGTAAAAATGTAGTGAGGAATTGAGTGCAAAAAATAACAGTATATGGGATGGAAAGAAGGGGACAGTCTTGAGAGCAAGGTTATGATGAAAAATATATGTGACATGTGTTTTGTTTTAACATTGTGAGAAAGAAAAGTTCTGACCTATAAAGGACTGATGAGAAGGCACTGCTATGTGATGAGATACAGGAACAAGATAAAGAACATATTGGGATTGGTAGGTGAAATAGTGAATGGGGCAGGAGACTTAATTTCTCAGATTATTTTGATTTTTCCATGACAATAGTGTGCGTGCGTGTGTGTTGCATGTATGTTATAAAGTATCTATATATTAAAGTGTATGTGTGTATGTTTGAAATCTTAGAAATTAAAACCTAGATGTATGTAGTGGTAGAAGTGATAAAATAGGATGCAGTCACCCAGAGAATTTTGTGGGAGAGTCAGGAAGAGTTGAGACTTGAGGATGGATTTCTGGAATCATTAGTAAATACTAGATGGCAGTATAAATAGAGAACTGGAAGAGTCATCTAGAGGAGGTGGAAGGAAAGATATGGGGATTGTGATATTGTGATGTTATGAAAGCCATGGAACTAAAATAATTTCAGCGGGGATTTATTTGGAGTGTCAAACACTGTAGTGTTTTATTCAGTGTTTACTCACTGAGTAAAAATAGAAAAGCACCTAGAAAATAGGATGTCATTGGTATATTTGATGAAGATGGTCCCAATAAAGTAGGATTGGACACAGAAGCAAGATTGTGATTCAAGGATGAACAAGAGCGTGAGATGGTAGGAAGCATAAGTACAGGAAACTCAGTGGGTTTTGGAAGAAGGAGAGACCAGAGACTTGGGAGAGGGTGGGGGCAAGATAACATTATTTTTTTGTTGTTGTTTATATCATCATTATTCCCATCACTACTCTTTATTCCTCTTCCTCTTATTAACCACTCCTCCTCTTCCTGGTAGTTTATATGGGGCACTTGATGAATCAGTAAGTTTGAAAAGGAGATGACCCTTGGGGCACTTGGGTGGCTCAGTTGGTTAAGCATATAACTCTTGATTTCAGCTCAGGTCATGATCTCAAAGTTGAAAGATCAAGCCTTATGTTGGGCTCTGTGCTCAGGGTGGAGCCTGCTTTAGATCTTGAGATTCTCTCTCCTCCTGACCCTTCCAAAAAAAAAAAAAAAAAGAGGACTCAGCTCTTCATCTTGAAGATGAAAATGTGGAATGGAAATTAATATACAAATATGCGTGCAAGAGCATTAAAAAATTATACCAGAGATCTTACTTTTATTGGTAAAACTGGAGACAAGCTTGAATTCTGGGAGACAGAGTGAAGATAGGGTGCCTGTGGTACCATGAAAAACTGGGGGAAGGGGACCAGGGGCTTGCTAACAGCTGAGGTTGAAATAGTTTGTTCATCAGGTTTGCATTTTAAATGCTAAAATTAGTGGGTGAGGGAGCCTTTTCCCTCATGATGTTAATATCGACTCTTGGTTAATGATTTTGTCTTGTTCAGTATCCCAACATAAAAATTTTCTATTTCTAAGATATTAAAGTGGATTTTGATTTTTGACTTTTTTTGTTTAACTTTTTCTTAACAAAGGTTTAGGGTGCAAATATATCTATCAAAAGAATGGTGATCCTTTGCACATAAGTGAACTCCTGGAGAGTTTCAAAAAGGATGCAAGAAGCTTTAAATTGAGAGCTGGAAAGCATCAGCTTGAAGATGTGACAGGGGTGTTGAAAAATTTCCTCTCTGACATTGACGATGCACTTCTTACTAAGGAGCTCTATCCATATTGGATCTCTGCTTTAGGTAATCATATGATACCAAAGATAATAAATGCTTGCCTTCTAATTTGATAATTATTTTTTAAAATCTTTGATAATCTGAATATTGAAAGGAATAATGTACATAATGGCTTAGAACAGAAATTGCGCAAATATCAATAGTTGTTTATATCTACCTCAAAAGAAATGTATAGTAATGATTGCTAAATAGTGTGTTAAACTAATTCTTAGTTTTCAGGTTTCTTAGTGTTTGCTTTAACTTTGGAAGTGTTTCAGTCAAGTCCATGTATGCTATTAATTTCTCTTTAAGATTAAAATGAAAGATGTAAAATAGGATTGGTTTTATACCATTTCCCCATTGGCTCTTTGCCTCTATCATTTATTCTACCAATGTAGGAGTACATAACAACATTTTTTAAACTCTTTCCTTCTTCGTTTTCCCTTCATTAATTAAAAAAAAAAAGCAAGTTTGCTACAGTGTAAAATGATCCTAGAGAGGTAGCTTATTAAAATACTTACTGGGTTGATTCAGTAAAACTTCAATTTACATCTATTAATTCAAAATAACTCCTTTTACAAAAACATTACAAAAATGAAGCCTTTTAAACATACTTTTTTTTTTGTTTTTTTAAAGATTTTATTTATTCATGAGAGACACACACAGAGAGAGAGGCAGAGACATAGAGAGAGAAACAGACTCAATGCAGGGAGCCCGATGTGGAACTTGATCCTGGGACTCCAGGATCATGCCCTGAGCCAAAAGGCAGATATTCAACTGTTGAGCCACCCAGGCATCCCCAAACAATACTTTTAATCTCACCTTTCTAATAGAACTATTTTCATTTTTATTATTTTGTATTATTTGTCCCCACACCTATAATTTATATATAATCCCTATTAATGAACCACAAACATTTTTCATGTATCTATAGTACTTTCAAAATGATTTTCAGTCTGCATTTTTTAATTAAAAAATTTTCATTGAATGTTTTACTATAATTTACTAATACATTTCTCACTTGTATGTTTAATATATATCATGATTTTTTGCAAAATTCACCTTTGAATTTAACTATATGATGTTTCTCTGTTGAGAAATAGGCTTTTTCAATTAAAGTATTTATTTAATCTCAATGTAAGTATGATATTTTAAGAGATTAATGTAGAAATTATGTCATAAAACATCCACAGGTGAAAAACCATCCCAAGAATGACCCATATTAGTGTCAGTAAGAGGGGAATGGGATTGTTATTAAAGTAAAGCTTTTCACAGTTTGCCAATCCAGAAGCCCTTTATTTGCTTCCTGGTATTTCTCAAATCAATAGGTTCAACTGTAATTAAAAAGAAAGTTGATTGCATAATTATATGGGATATAAAATATGGAATCAGATAATATATCTCTTTAAGCCCAATTACCTTGCCACCCTTATTTTTGTCTCAAGAAGATTTAATCATAATTTATAACTATGAAATTATTTATAGCATCTCTATAAAGGCTTCCAAATTGTCTTTATTGTAAAACCAGTTATCAAAAATTTGAGGCAAATATACTTTTGCTCAATTATCAGGTTCTGTGACAAGATGTCTTTCATGTTGTCAATCTACCAGGAGGAGGTAGTTGGTAGATAGTAGCGTGTATCAAAGAGAAATGTGTTCACTTTTTACTTGCCTGTGAATTCTTTGAGAATTTACTTGGAGAAGGTTTTGGATACTAGGTCAGATAGTCTTAAAATTGTTTGCTTTTAGATCCAGCATAGCTCACCCTGACTTATCAGAAGTGCTCTGTGTTGGATCTGACAAGAATAACCTGGAACTTTCTGGATGACCTCATATTAGGAGAGATCTCTTGGGTCCTGTGCATTGAGGCAAAGAATGCCTTATGGTGTCATACCACCTATTAATACGATCTATGGTCTCTTTTTCTAAGAACACCAATAAATTGTCTGAAGTCTGTGGCTAGCTGAACAGTTCATTGTATTTTCTATATGACCTGAAATCTATCTTAAGTTTTACTTTCAAATTACTTAAGCTTTGCTTTGAAAATATCTATTTTACCCTTATTAGATTTGTGAAAATATGCTGCACCAGCATGAATTCTTGTTATAAGTGTGGTAGTACTAACTATATTTTATTAAATAAATACCACTAGGGCAGCCCGGGTGCCTCAGCGGTTTAGCACCGCCTTCAGCCCAGAGCATGATCCTGGAGACCCAGGATCGAGTCCCATGTCAGGCTCCCTGCATGGAGTCTGCTTCTCCCTCTGCCTGTATCTCTGCCTCTTTCTCTCTGTCTCCCATGAATAAATAAATAAAATCTTAAAAAATAAATAAATACATACATACATGCATGCCATTATAGTTAGAAACTGGATGAGAAGAGAGTAACTGTTTGGATTGTATTGATTGTACTATATTGATAATTCTTCATTCAATTCCATTATAGTCCTTTGAATATAATTTGGGTATTTTCCCCTTTTTTAGAAAGTCACCTACTAGCACATTTAAGTCTATATGATCATGTTTACTTTTATAGACCTTAACAGCAGGCTTAATCAGTATAAAAGAACTATCAGTTACAGTTTTAAATAGGAGTATACTTCAAACATGTACCACAGAGTTTCTACCTCCCCAGGGATCCTAATGCCCTTTATAAGTGACCGTGTACTTTTAAAGAATCATTAATGTGCTGCTGGTTTTCTGTGAATAGAATAGGTAGGGCTAAGCAGAAAATCAAAAAATCTTGTTTCCAAAGGTAGTTGGGAATTGCAAAGGAATATATAAGTGCAATTCCCTTAAGTTACAAAATCAGCACAAGTTATTTATTTGAAGAATGGCCCTTTATTTCCCTTGTGACTTAGCAGGTCAGATCAGACCCTAATTACACATTTTCTAGAGTCTGGAACTTTCGGGGTTCCTGAGTCTAGTTTCTCCATATATTTGACTTCCACGGTTTGGAGAGGGGAGTATAATTCCTTCTCATTTTCCTCTCTATAACTAATTCAAGTTCTGTTAGTGACAGAGACAGAGGGTCCAGGCTCCTCTCAGTCTGTGTCAGAGTTATCAGGGCCTACACATGACTCCTTCCATTGCCCCCTTCCCTTTCCCAAGGAGTTGGAGGTGCCAGGGTTGGTAAAAGGCCTTGTACATGGATCTGCAGAGTAATGCAATTCATAACTTTGGGATGGTTCATAGTTTTGGTAAGACTTTTATGATTTCACAAGAAAAAAAATCAGAAATGTCATTTTCAGATAACAGTGAAATCTTTCCATAGCCAAAGTTAAAGTAATTTTGGTTTATCTCTCAATTTTCACTGCAATTTTAGTTATAAATTGAATACATTCCTATTAGTTGAAGTTCAGTAGTTCATAAAGTGGAAAATGAAATGCAAACCTGGGTTTTGAAAGTGCTTTGTTTTTAATTAGAAAGTATTAGAATTACAGCTTATAACCATGTAATATTGATGTAAATGCTTTTCCAGAATTAAAGAAGTTCAAATGTTTATTCTGTTGAAACTTGATTAGATCACTTAGTGAAATACAGTAATGAATATTGTTTTAAAATACTGTTAAAATGCAAATATGTAATCCGGACTATTAGTTTAGGCCTAAAGTTGTTTTGTTTTGTTTCGTTTTTAACCTCTAGATACTCAGGAAGACAAGGAAAGAATTAAAAAGTATGGAGCATTTATACGTACTCTTCCAGGGGTCAACCGAGCAACATTGGCAGCTGTAATTGAACACCTGTACAGGTGGGTGGTTTCATGAACTTTCCTAGACATTTCAAACATGGTATTAGATAAGTCATTATTACTTAAATTTAAAGTAGTATAGCTAACTTTCTGTATGTGACTGAGAATTTCCCATCATATCTTAAAAATGGATCAATCTACCAAAAAGCTACTAGAATTGATAAATGTATTCAATAAGGTCATAGGATACAAAACAAAAATACAGAAATCTGTTGCATTTCTGGAGACTAATAATAAAGTAGCAGAAAGAGAAATTAAGAAAATAATTCCATACATAATTGCACCAAAAATAATAAAATACTTAGGAATAAACTTAATCAATGAGGTGAAAGGGTTATACTCCAAAAAATATAAATGTGAGACCTGAATCAATAAAAATCCTAGAATAAGACATAGTAATTTCTTTGACATTTGCCTTAGAAACATGTTTCTAGTTATCTTCTTGGGCAAGGGAAACAAAAGCAAAATTAAACTATTGGGACTACACAAAATATAATGCTTTTGTACAGCGAAGGAAACCATCAACAAAACCAGGCAGCCTACTGTTTGGGGGAAGGTATTTGCAAATGATATATCTGATAAGGAGTTAATATTCAAAGTATATAAAGAACTTCTACAAATCAATGACAGAAAAACAAATAATCTGATTAAAAATAGGCAGAGGACCTGAATAGATATTTCTTCAAAGACATACGGATGGCCAACATTACTTATCATCAGAAAAATGCAAATTAAAACTACCATAAGATATCCCTTACACTAGTCAGAATGGCTAGTATCAAAAAGACAGAAAATAATAAGTGTTGGCAAGGATATGGAGAGGAGGGATCCCTCATGCATTGTTGATGGGGATATGATAGTGTAGCTGCTGTGGAAACAGTATGGATGTTCCTCAAAACATTAAAAATAGAACTACCATATAGTCTAGTAATTCCACTACTGGGTATTTACTTGAAGAAAGTAAAAGCACTAATTCAAAAAAATATGCACCCCTATGTTTATTGAAGTATTATTTACAATAGCCGAGTCATAGAAGCAACATTTAGTGTCCATCAATAGATGAGTGGATAAAGAAGTTAGCAAATAAAACAGTGAAATACTACTTGGCCATAAAAAAAAATTGAGGTTTTCATCATTTGCAATATGAATAGACTTAGAGGATGTTATAGTAAGTGAAATAATTCAGACTGAGAAAGACAAATACCATATGATTTCACTTATATATGGAATTGAAGAAAGAAATGAACAAAGAAGGGAGGCAGGGAGAAAGACCCCCCCAAAAAAGAAAAAAAAAAAGCCAGATTCTTAAATACAGAGAACAACTGGTAGTTGACAGAGAGTTTTAAAATGAAATCCCCTGGGCACCTGGGTGACTCAGTGGTTGAGCTTCTTTGGCTCAGGTTGTGATCCCAAGTCCTATGATCGAGTCCCGCATCAGGCTCTCCGGCGGGACCTGCTTCTCCCTCTGCCTGTCTCCGCCTCTCTCTTTGTGTCTCTCGTGAATAAATAAATAAAATCCTAAAAAAAAAAAAAATACATGAAGACGAAAAGTCTTAAGACCACCATTCCCAAACTGAGCATCTGGATGTCCGAGTGAATGCACAAGAGTGCTGCAGGACATTTTATATTTTTTAAGGAAACAGCAACATTGGGACAGCTTTTAACATAAAAAATTTTACCATAGGAAGGATTGAGTGATTTGTCATGTGTTGACATACAGGGGATGCTTCACATCTAAAGGGGTATATGAGGAGGATGTGAAAGAAACATAAGTATGAGAAATGAGTAGAGGGTATTTTCTAGGAAACAGGTGTGCTAGGGGATGAGCTAGTTTGTAGTTGGCTGGCAGGTGCTTGTGAAAGGCTCAGGTGGTCATGTAAAAACATTTAGATTTTATTCCTTTAAGCCATAAAGAGTGATCAAATTTGTTTTGGGACAATAACCCATGAATGGGATTGATTGAGAAGAGATTAGAATAGATGCAGAGAAACTAATCAGGAAACCGTTTCCTTGGGCTTCTAATGAGAAGGCCTGTGTGAGAACGGACTCAGTGGGCTGAGTAGGAATCCTTGGGAATGATCGGGTGTGCGGCACAGAAATAAAGGAAGGGAAGGAAAAAGCTGTGTAGTGTGGACTTTATGCCAGAAATTAAGGCAGCTGCAGAAATGGAAGAGAAGAGAGATGAAGAGTAGCAAAGGAGGATGCTATCGCGGAAGGAAGTCTCACAAAAGGTGGGAACATTTGATAGAGTTGTCAGAAGTTTGAGAGGTCGATTTGGATAAGGTCAGGTTGATTTAGCATTTAATTCCATCCCTGCCTCAGATAACAGATCGCTTCCTCCATGACTAACATTTACTTAATTCCATTCACCAGATATTTATTACACACTCCAGTGTGATTAAAGCAAGAGTCCCTGATGGGGAGATGCTTCGTTTCTAGTAACACAGGCAGACCTGCAGATAAATTTTCCAGATACTTATAATTTAGTGTGATAAAAGTACAGGAGTGGTTTTGAGAGGGATGTCCACAATTATTACACCCTCCTCTATTAACCTGCAATTCCTTTTGCATCTTATAAATCACATATGATGATTGCACTTGTTCTGTCTCTGCTAGGCAATTTGGTATTTTATTGTGAGTTTGTAACATCACCTTTTACTGTTTTTTGTAACTACTAGAATCTCTGCTTTTTATAGACAAGTTTACCTAACTTAGTCTTTTGTTTTATTCCTTTGGTACATTTGGTCTCCTTTTTTAGTATGTATTTTAACTTTTATAAATCTAATTATGCAATTAAGCAGGGTCCTATTATATATAGTCAGTGGCAAGTAGCATCAACAGATACATCCATGTGTGTCACTTATAGGTGTCATCTGTGCATTTGTATCTATGTAAATTTCCTTTTATTGGGGTGAAGCCTGTAGTATTTTTTAAATGACTTTGCACTTAACATGTGTGAATTGACCCTTGAACAAAGCAGGATTTAGGGGCACTGCTCCCTCACACAGTTGAAAACCCATGTATAACTTTTGACTCCCTCAAAGTTAACTACTAATAGCCTACTGTTGACCAGAAGCCTAACCAGTAACATGTACAGCCAATTAACACGTATTGTGTATGATATATGTATTATTTATATACTATATTCTTACAGTAAAGTAAGCTACAGAAAAGAAAATGTTATTAAGAAAATCATAAGGAAAACACATTTATAGTACTATACTGTATTTATGGAAAAGAATCCACATGTAAGTGGACCCACAGAGTTCAGACTGTGTTATTCAAAGGTCAGTTGTCCTTTTAAGTGATCTTCATAAGACACAAATATTGTAGCCTACTCATGGGGAGAGTTGACTCTTCTGGTCGTGTCTGTACATTGTAAAAAGTCATTCTTAGTTATATCCAAGAAAAGTATACTTGTATTTTTAAGTTGTTTGCTTTTTGAAAGATAATATTCAATTTTGAATAACTGTACAAACCCATGCTGCCAAATATTTTCTCACCTGATTTATCCCTTCCTGGAAAACTCAGCTCTTCCTTGAATCTTGAATTTGGAACTCTCTCCTATACGCCTCCCAGTTCACCTCTCTTGCCTTGTTTCCGACTTACCTACTGCCCCTTATCCCCTCTTTCATTTATGGTTCAGTCCCGATAGTCATTTTCCACCATTGTGCAAGCGTATCTTAATCCTTAGCCTCAGATTGCACCATTATCTGTGACTATTTGGATATGGTGAGTCCCTCCTCCAATCAACAGACTTGCACTGCTTTATAACCTGTAGTCATATCTTCTTTTATTTTTTTCTTATGCTCTTAGCTAGACTGTAAACTACTTGGAAGAAAGAACTGTGCATTTTTCTTTAAATCACCACCATAGGGATCCCTGGGTGGCTCAGCGGTTTAGTGCCTGCCTTCAGCCCAGAGCATGATCCTGGAGTCCCAGGATCGAGTCCCACGTCGGGCTCCCTGCGTGGAGCCTGCTTCTCCCTCTGCCTGTGTCTCTGCCTCTCTCTCTCTCTGTCTCTCATGAATAGATAAATAAAATATTTAAAAAAAATAAATAAATCACCACCATACCTGTTATGTTAGAGACCTTCAGTATGTGTGTGCTAAGTAATGACAAATGGGTATTGTGACTAAAGTTCTGTGAAATTTTCATATAGACGTGTGTTGTAATGAGTTTTGCTTTTCTCTAACAGGGTTCAGAAGTGCTCAGAAATCAATCATATGAATGCGCATAATTTGGCCTTGGTCTTTTCATCCTGTTTGTTTCAAACTAAGGGACAAACTAGTGAAGAAGTGAATGTAATCGAGGACTTAATTAACAATTATGTTGAGATATTTGAGGTAAATATTTTATATCCTGCCCTTGTTAAAATAGTTTTGATGTTACTGTTGAAAAAAAAAAATATATATATTTTAGGATGTTTATAATCAAGTTTTTATGAATGTCTAAAAAAAATAAGGGATAGTTATATGATCTTTAATATATTAGGTACAACTAGCCTTTTAAGCCATAGCCATTCATTTAAATTTGGCTGTTTTTAAAGCCATGTGGTGGTGCCTTTTGTACAGAATATTTCTACTTACGGTGATTCTGTGGCTTTTTTCCCTTGTCAGTATATGTATGCATTAAGTGTATCTAGACTTTCACAAATTTAGTAATAAATACCAGGCTGATAAATTCTGCAATTGAATGCATTTTAGTGTTTTCTTTTTAATAGTGTCTGAATTAGAAGTGAATAAAATCCTGATATAATATCCTGTGGTTTTTTTTTTACTAAGTTAACAGTTTTAATTATTTGACTTTCAGTTTGCTATTTTATGAAGTCAATATATTCGTGTTTCATCATAAAACTGTCAGAATGAGGATGATTTCTTAGTTGAAAGAAGTAAAAATAGAGGAAATAAGCCCAGGGTTTGAATATGGGGGTGGGGGAGAATTTAAGGGATCTGGATCAAAGCTCCAGTTTCATCACTTGATTACCACTGGCATCTTAATTACCACTGTCAGAGTACTAACTTTTGGGGCCCTCTGTTAAATGGTGTTGTATAAGACTTCTTGTTTTCCAGGGTTATGGCTATGTTAGTTGAAATCAAGTGGGCTAGTGTAATAGGTTATTATTTTTTAAAGATTTTATTTATTCATTCATGAGAGAGAGACAGAGAGAGAGAGAGAGAGAGAGAGAGACAGAGAGACAGAGAGGCAGAGACACAGGCAGAGGGAGAAGCAGGCTCCATGCAGGGAGCCCGACATGGGACTTGATCCTGGGTCTCCAGGATCACGCCCTGGGCTGAAGGCAGGCGCTAAACCGCTGAGCCACCCGGGCTTCCCTGTAATAGGTTATTATTTATAGGCTTACCTTCTTTTAGTAAGTGATCACAAGATTCCTAAAGGGAAAAAAACTATTTTAGGAAAATAAAAACAAGCATTTTGTATCTTATTTTATATAGGAATGGACACCAAAATTGTTGGATTCTCTTTGCTCTTTGATCTCTTTTTTCTTTCTATATGTGTCCACTGTTTTTGATCAACAGCAGCTTCTTTTCAATAATTCTGATGCTGAGAAATGAAACAATTAGGAACAAAAATAACATATGGCTTTACATGCTCTCTTTATTTTCTATTTTTTGTACTGTTACCTGAATAAAAAAAAAATAATGGTTATCTTTGTAGTTTTGCTAACTCTCACCTTACGTGGTGGATATTTCATATGCACTTAATGAGGATTTCAGTTTGAGGCATGAGTCCTGTCTCTCAACTTACATAAATATTGTAGTGAATCATTTGTCAGCCCCTTTGCTTATTAAGTTGCTTAGTGATACAGCTTCCATTGATGGAATCCACAGCTTGAAGTAATATCATCAGAAAATGCTCTGAATTTTATGAAGCTCTGTCATGTTGACTTTATTTCTGCCCTACTATATGGGCCTGTGCTGATTAAGATGGCCATTCTCATTTATTTTTAAATTGTTGGTCTTTATAAATTCCTGAAGAGTTATGTGAGGACGAGTACCATCACTCCTTGTATTTTATTAGAATGTCCCAAATTATATTTTAAACAGGTTAAAGAAGACCAAGTCAAACAAATGGACATAGAAAATAGCTTTATTACCAAGTGGAAAGACACTCAAGTGAGTAGAAATAGTTAGATCTCCAAAGAATTAAAAACAAAAAAAAATTAAATTAAAACAACAAAAAAACCAAAAAACTTCTGTTGTAAGTAAAGATGTTTCTTGTATTTATTTTCAAGTTCCTGTTTGAAGCAAAATAAAAGTAATGGGGGAAAAAGAACCTAGATAAAATAGTTGTGTAATTCTGCAGCATGTTGCTTATATGCAAAATGCCAAAGTATGTTAATGTAAATTTTTCAAAATACAGAGGGAAAAATCATTATTAATCATATCAGTGCCCTTTATAAAATCAATTTTTAGTTACAAATGCGCTATTAAAAATGCCAGTGGATTTCAAAGGAAGCATTTAAAGCCAAAGAAATACCAGAGTAAATTGAAAATTCAGCTCTATAATGATTCTTTCCATTATGATTTTGAAAATATAAATTATTTCCTTTATGCTTTTGCTCTGCATGCTCTCAGATGATTATATTAGTGGAATGTTTCTAATGTCATCTTTGTCACATACGCTGATTTATGTCTTAAATTGACTATTTTCTAAATCTTCTTTTGCTTTCCTGAGTCACATTATATATATTAAATTTGTGTGTTCAGGTTGCCCTGCGGTTTTCTAGCGTACCTTGCCTTGTTTGATGAACATTCACTGGATTTTCTTAAAATTCATATTTAATCTTCTAATCACTAGGAATTATAGTGGATTCAGGACACCAATGTAAATAATATCAATGGGTCAAATATATTCTTTTTATAGATGTACACAGGGAATGAGGTAAATGCTAACTTATTAATCAAACTCTAAATTTACCTTATTCCTGATATCAGAGAAGTCATTGGAGGTACCATTCCATAAGAAGCCGGGGAGTAAAGGCTTCCATTCTAGTGCCCGAGATCCCTGAGTACTAGTACTGTGATATCCTACTTACCTAAGAAAGCTTCTCCTCTATTTTGACCTTAAGTAAGTAATGCAGCCTCCAGAGGAGTTAACTGTAACACTAAAAAAAAAAATCTAACTTACCAGTTCTCTTAAATTACTGCTTTTTGGGGAGTTTCAGTCATGAAATAAAGTGTTGTGTGAGCCCAAAGGATAATCTTTGGCAGCATTACCTATGTTGTTATTAGATGAAGTATGAGTGTCCTCCTGCATTTTTATCTTTTGTATTCATACTACAACAATGAAATGAGTCTTGGCTGCTTTTTAATTAAGTACAAGTCAGTAAATAGAAGAAAAGAATTGTCTATAAAATAGAGTAATTGGACAAGAAAAGTAGAGGACTTCGGAGAAACCTGTTCTTTTGCTTGTGTTTTTCTCTAATGCATTCAAAACTCTGCTATGGTGTATTTTTTTGACAGCCTCCATGTCTTCTCCCTGTTTGAATTTCGTAGCTATTCTTGTTTTGGCTTCTCTCTATGAGTCCTTTGTGTTTGCGTTTTTAATTTTTAAAATGTGTCCTTCCTGGAGAGCTGTTTATGCAAACACAGTGAAAAGTAGAAATGTCAACTGTATCTTTTCTTCCCTTGAATTTTTGTGTAGCATATCAAAAGTGAGGAAGAAAAATTAGAAATAAGCTATTCTAAGTCTGTAGAGCCAGAATAATTAAGAACACTTCCTCAAAGTACATTTTTAATGTTTTCCTCACTAATTTGTTCATCAGGTTTTATTTTTAGGCAAATTTAACTTCAGAATGATTGTTTCTCCAATATGATCATTTTTTTTTAGTTGGGAGATATTATTTCTAAGTGGTTACATAACTTGAGGGAATTTCTGAAAAAAGCTATCCCAAATTTTTTCATAGATTTATTTGATTCTTCGTTAATCTTTTCCACATTATACTGTCGATCTACATAGTGATAGTTTATGGTTTTTGTTTTCTGGATTTTCTCTCCTTCACTAAATGTCTCCTGGGTTATCATAGTGACCCAAATATTAGAACGGTAAATGGTTGGCTGAAGATAATTAAAATAAAAATTTATCTTCTTCATCTACTTTATTCTATCACTTCACTTTTTTTTTGCTAAATACACTTTCTCTATTTTTAGCTTTAATATAGCTCCAACCTAATTTATCCTCAAGTTTCAATTTTTTACATACCTCTTTGAAAATTTAGCAACACCTATTTCCCCTTTTAATTATTGATATGATACCCACACTGTAGATTAGAGGGCAATTACATATGGATCATTTTCACTTCTCATTTTGCCTATCCTAGTAATATACATAGTGATGGCTCTTATAATTTCTGTTGTTGAAGTCAGCATATTCTCATTGTAGCCAGATGCATTATTTTACTAAGAATAAGGAGTATTTTAGGACATTAAACTCTTGACTAAGAGATGAAAAAAAATTGCACTGTAATTATATCATTTGTGTAGATTCCTTGTCAACCACATCTGGAAAATCGGTATCATGCTATTGACAGGCTCATTCAACTACTTTGAAATATTTAGAAATAGGACTAGGATTTTCTGTCTTAAGTGTCATACTTACATTTGCTGTTTTCACATCTGCCCCTTTCTAGGTTTCCCAGGCTGGAGATTTATTAATTGAAGTCTATGTTGAAAGGAAGGAACCTGACTGCAGTATTATAATTCGGGTGAGTCCTCAAGATGGATGTAAACTTTTGGAAATTGCAAGTATTAGTATGCAGTAATTAGGTATCTTGAATTTTCCATTATTTTTTTGTATTTTATCTGTCCAGTTCAAAGGGCTGATTGATAGGATTGACTTTTTATTTCAATATCCTCCAGAAATTCCATGTTTTAGTCATTTGGAAAGAGAACATCTTAGATGGTCTAGGTTATGGCTAGGACTTTCTGTAGGTTCTAGAAAATAACCTGACCTCAAATTTTGTTCCTCTTACTCTGAGTTGAAATTGTTTCACCTGTAAAATGGGGAAAAATTAGAGTATTTACATTGTATCATTGATGTGAGTCTTCACTAAAATACTGCATTGCAAAACAGTAAGTTGCTTGGCACATAAGTGTTTAATAAATAATTAATACCACTAGTCCTATATTATTTTTATTATTTATTTCAGTTGGTCATTACCTCAGCTCCAGGGGGTAGGTGAAGCAAGTAATGTCTCAAGTTTACATGAAAAACTGGGAATTAAAAGTATTAAGGCCAACAGATACTGGGGTCATCCCATTTCTAACCTCATGGTCATCATACTGTTTTGTATATTCCTTAGAGTAATAATACCCAAAGCATGCTTTCCACTCTTGTGTTTTAGACTTCCTGTCTTTCAATTTACTTGAATATTGGACAATTCTTCTCTGTTTTAGGAATATGATACTTTTTTTTTCCTGAATTAAAGTATCCTTCTTATGCGGTCATATCCTGTACTTAGTCTGCCTGAGGGAGAGTAACAGTGATAATTCAGATTCCTGCTTAGTTAAGACTACATTCTTGGGATGAGGAAAACATTCTGCCATCTAAAGTCTAAGATTTAAAGTTTTATGTATTTCTGGACTTTAGTTTTGTTAAATACATTGTAATTATTAATCTGTATTTTTTTAATTGATTATATATTAAGTCTGTGTAGCACTGGTCATTAACTCACTGAGAACATAGAGTGAACTACTGTAATCATAAGTTTTGTCCCTAAGAGGGCAGGAACCTTGACATCAAATTTCTTACGCTGATGGTGGTATGTTGGTAATAGGGGACACAAGGAAGTAGTAGATACAGTCAGCACAGGTTCATCAGTAACTAGAAGAGGTATTCAGAGCACATGACCTAACTCCCTCTACACACAAACTCTCTAATAGCTCATTTTAATTTTGTCCTACTTAAAAGACCATAACACAAGCTATTACAATTGAACAAATTTCTTACTTATTTTAAGTGTATGCCCATAAAGGACTGTCTAGTTTCACCTATAACAACTCCCAAATTCTCTTTAAAAACAACGAAAGCTGTATAAAAATAATCATTAACATTTGCTTCATGCTTAAGACTTTAGAAAACTCTTCAGTTATATTTATTTCAGTTGGTCATTACCTCAGCCCCAGGGGGTAGGTGAAGCAAGTAATGTCTCAAGTTTACATGAAAACAAACTGGGAATTAAAAGTATTAAGGCCAGCACAAACCGGGGTCATCCCATTTCTAACCTCATGGTCATCATACTGATTTGTATATTCCTTAGAGTAATAATTCCCAAAGCGTGCTTTTTGTAGTTCTAGTAGTTCTAGGAATTTTTTTTGTCCTTGGGAGTCTTCTGGGACAAGGAATGGAGTTCTGTTTCTCCATTCCTATGTCAACCTGAGTCACTCCCTGCTGACTCTTTCACAGTTTGGTTTCTCCGTAATTTATTATTTTAAGAAAGGGTTATGCTTCGGGACACCTGGGTAGCTCAGTGGTTGAGCATCTGCCTTTGGCTCAGGTCATGATCCCTGGGTCCCATGATGGAGTCCCACATCAGGTTCCCCACAGGCAGCCTGCTTCTCCCTCTGCCTGTATCTCTGCCTCTCTCTCTCTCTCACACAAATAAATAAATAAAATATTTTTAAAAACGAAAGAAAAAAAGGGTTATGCTTCTTAAAAAAAAAAAAATGTGAGGGATCCCTGGGTGGCTCGGCAGTTTAGTGCCTGCTTTTGGCCCAGGGCATGATCCTGGAGTCCTGGGATCAAGTCCCACATCAGGCTCCTTGCATGGAGCCTGCTTCTCCCTCTGCCTCTGTCTCTGCCTCTTTCTCTCTGTGTCTCTCATGAATAAATAAATAAAATCTTTTTTTAAAAATGTTAAAGCTGTTCAGATGAACAACATCATTGAAATGATTCATCTAATGTTTCTATTACTTAAAGTTTTCTGATTTTCCCAGATAGAGGGCTTTTTAAATTCTTTTTAAGATTATATTTCATTGGACTTTTAAAAATAGAAACCAGTATACTTTATTGTATCATTAATATATTCCACTATACATTCCACAAAGTCCAGGAGATAGATTGTAGGAGTTAACTGTAACAAAAAGTGTTTTGTTTCTTATATGTGTGTAATATGCTTGTGGTCAAGAATGGACAGGAGAAATGGTAATGAGCACATTCTTTTTTGAAGAAACTTTTAAAGAGTTAACATACTTTACTGAAATTATACAAACTAGGTTGCAGTTGCAATATCCTAATGCTTAAAACATCTTCTGTTTGTTCAACATTATAACTAAATTCATACTGAGAAAAGCCAGCTTGCTTTTGTCCAGTATGCATTTAAGATTGGCAGAAACAGAAGCAAGAAGAAACAAATCAAAAATCCCAAAACTCCCTGAAGAAGATGGTGTTGCTTATGCTATGGCCTGAGGCTGTGGGACTCTTGTGGAGCTGGCCCCAAGGCTGGCACTGCACACTCTGCCCTCTGCCCTGCAGTCCTGGCTCCAGCATGCTTTGGTAGCCCACCATCTGTCACTTGGCAGGCAGGGCACACCACAGACCACTGAAACCCTGGGGCTTTTTGGCATAGTAGACAGCAGTTGATTGTGTGTAATTCAGGGCCCAGACTGAACAAACCAAACCATTTTGAACTCTTGATTATTGAACTGATGAATGAAAATTGTTAGTCCTGGAATACCACTGGATTCATTGTCTGGTGAAGGTCTTTCTGCGTATGACTAGGTATAGTCTTCCCTCCTTGAGTGAGCTAATTGATCACTAAGCAAGAAAAAAATTCTTCCTGATGTCTATATTATAACATCTTTTTTTTTGCACTCACATTAAAATATTTTATGGAGAAGATCTGAACAGGCTGTGTTTTCTATGTGCTTAGAGAAGCTAGGTAAGCAACTAAGTAAGAAACTTGGAGCATTTTAAGTAAGTTGGTAGATGGGGTGAGAGCACTACTGGCTCTGTCATTAGTTGACTTCTGTGTCTGACATTCCTTCTGAAGAAACTTTACCTCTCTCGTAGATATCTCCAGTGATGGAAGCAGAGGAATTAACTAATGATATATTAGCAATAAAAAATATAATTCCTACGAAAGGCGATATCTGGGCCACATTTGAAGTCATTGAAAATGAAGAGCTAGGTAAGTGATTTTCATGCTAATATTCTTAACTTCCTTACAGTGTGAAGAAGTACTATTTTTGTGACAAGTCATTACAGACATTTTATGCTTTTTAAAGATTAATATCTCATTTTGAATTCCCTTCTACCTTGGTGCGTGTGTTAGTATGTTATTGCCCCTTGAGGTTGCCCTCCTATGATTTTACTCATCTCAACAGTTAGATTATTTAATTGACTATAAAAATATAGTGCAAAGCATTAGGTGCTATGTTGCTGCTTTACGAAATAGGCCTTTGTTTATAAGGACAAGCGGTTTGATTTGTAATAATATTCTAAATGGCCACCTACCTCATTTCGATATGTTACCCTTTTAACAAAAACAAAGAATGTTCATTTAAAAGATGATTTGTTATTTTAAAAGACAATTTGTGTTAAGCCTAGTGGAAGCTTCTTTTTTGGATTTTCCCCTTTCATCTGTCTGTAGTGGAGTGAATCAGATATTTTGCCATCTTTTATCTCAGACGTGGGAGGATAAAGGGAGCTTTGAAAACACCTTGACTACCCCAGTAGTCAAATGCTGAATAAGCTTTACATTCTAATGACACCATTTGGTGGTTAAAGACCTGTAGGAAAAAAAAAAAAGAAAAGATGCAGAATATCTTTGTACCTTGACCATCTGTCTAGCTGATACCTCCTCAGGTCTTGGGACCCTTTCAAGTATACTTGTCAAACCGCCAAAAGTAGTCTTGCCACCTGCAAGCTCAAGATAGAAATTGAAATTCAACATCAAAATACCCCATCGTGTATTATTAGGAGTGTTGCAGTCAGTGTTAGAAGGAAATGGGATGTCAGATACTTTGTCTTTTTGTTAGTTCATCTTGATGTTTTCATATCAAGCATGAAAACATAGTTCTTTAAAAATCTAATCTGTATTAAAAAGTAATTTTATACTATTCATTGTGAGGAGTCAGTGGCTCCCATGGTTTAGTGTTGGTTCACACTGTGTCTCCCCATATTCAGTCATCCCCATGTACAGGAAGCGCTCCAGCAGATGAGCACTGCGGCCCACTACTTCTTTTTTTTTTTTTTAATTTTTATTTATTTCTGATAGTCACAGAGAGAGAGAGAGAGGCAGAGACATAGGCAGAGGGAGAAGCAGGCTCCATGCACCAGGAGCCCGATGTGGGATTCGATCCTGGGTTTCCAGGATCGTGCCCTGGGCCAAAGGCAGGCGCCAAACCGCTGCGCCACCCAGGGGTCCCCGGCCCACTACTTCTAAGCTCAGGTGAGCTTAGAAGCTCACCTTCTTTGCTTCAGGTTTTTTTTTTTTTTGTCCTCTCTGTAGCCTTTATTGTTAATGACCATTCCCTTTCCCTTTCCCATTCCCTTTGAAGGTCTTCAATGTTTTCGATGCTGTGTGGTTTCTCCTCCTGGCCCTCTCACTGTTTTATCTTATTTGTCACTTCTTCTGTCTATCCCCTACGTGATAGATTTCTGCTGACTCCATCTCCTTTGCTATCTTTTCTCACTTTACATGTTCTCTATAGACAATCCCCTCCTCCTCTGTGCTTGCCCAACCTGGAGGAGCTGGGGTTTTCCCACTGTACCTTTACTCTCCCCCATCTGGCCTGCCTGTTGACCTTTAAAACCCATACTAAAGGTTCCATTGCACTTTGTCTTATATTTTCTTATAGTGCCTATCACGTGGGTTTATATTTGTCTCTTGATGAGAACTCCTTAGAAGGAAAGAGGGGCTTTCTTTCTTTTGTCTTTAGTGTCTGGCATAGTGCCTTGTACATAGCTGCCATGCAATTAAAGTCTACTGGTGAAGCACAGTTTTGCATTACTATAGGTATATGGGTGGTATAGTCTTTTGATTTTTGTTGTTGTTTCATTTTAAGGAAAAGGGGATAGGTTACTAGATTCATCATAATTGTGAGTAAAAGATAACTGTCAGTATTACTGCCAAAAGTATCTTTCTGAATCACAAATAAGATCATATTGTTCCACCCTTTAAGGGTTTAAAACCCTTTTGTTATTTTCTAATTGCCCATCCTTCAAGATCCAGTTCAAATAACCCTTCTTCCATGTTGATGTTTAGATGAACATAGTTTTCACTGAGCTTTTTCTGATTATTTGTTTATTGATCTATAATACTGCATATTATCAGACTAGTAGAATAGTAATGTATATACATCTGATTCTGTCCTAGACCATATGTTTTTCAGGACATTTACCATATTTTTTTAGACCTTTATATCTGTCACTATCTCTAACATAGTGCATTGGTGTGGAACATTTCCTACAAATATCTTGTTAACTAAGGTGGTACAAAAAATAGATGCATTCTGGACTTGAGTGACTTGGACTGTGATTAGCTGTATCAAAATGTGAAAGGTACATGCAAAGTGACTCCTGCTTACAAATTAGGAATCACTAGGAGATAGATCTCAAGGCCCTGGTTAGTTCTTAGATAGCTGATTGTTTCCTAAATGCTTCTGTTTCTGTTGTTTTTATTAGGATATCCTCAGCAAAATCATGAATCATGGATTTGGGGTAGCCAGCCTCTCCCTGCTGCCCTTAATCTCTCAGGAATTAAGTCAATGCATTTCCCTGTGTCACATCATTGGAGCTCTGTGCCTTTGGGCATTGGTGCTCCTGACTGAAGGAGCAAGCAGAATGAAGGAGGATAGGAAGGAAGTATAATATATAGCTAGAAGAGAGATTGCAGTGTATCTGGAAACATCATTATTAGACTTTTCTTGGGAAATGAGATCTCTCTTGCTTCCTCTGAAAATGAGTATCAATTTGCATATGACAATCAGTTCATCACAAATGGTAAGACTCTATTGAGTTTTTACTTGTTGTTCCTTCTCTCCAATTAAAAAAGTTATCTTGATGAAAATATAAAAAGACGTAGGAGACCTCAAGTTGTTTCAATTCGTGACTATCTAAATATATAACCAAAGGAACACCCCATGTACACCAAGAAAATACATTTGATGGAGTTAAGAATTCAGATTTGGCATGGTTTTAATATTTGGTCAACTTTTTAAGTAGAATTCTCCAGAAGAGGAAACTAAGATCATTTTTACTGCTTCTAAGGGAGCAGTGCTAAGAAAGCATCAGAGGGGCCTATGATTTTGCTGGCTTCTGAAGCAGATGGGAACCTGTGCACTCCATCTGACCTTCTGAAATGTTAAAAGCTTTATTTCTAGTAACATGCAGGGAAGATAAAGTGAAATATAAAAAGAAGATAAAAGTGAAGGCGTTGGTAGTTACAAGATTGTAGTTGATAGGAAGAATGTCAGCAAGGAATTGCTGCTTTTTCAAATGTGAGTATAAATCCCCAAGTAACAAAGTAAACAAAAATAAATCAATAGGTAAATAGGTAAATAAGTGAACCAGAAGTGCTGGATTTTAAGTGTGAGTAAACTTTAAAGCAATAAGTTTCTACCCTATCATATCCATTGCCCCTTTTTATAATAAATATTTTGTAATGTTCCCTTTACTCTTTGAGTTAAGCTATTATACTTTTTAAGAAATTAATAGGCTTCCCTAATTATATAAAAATAAGAGGAAAATATGTATTATATAAATGCTCAGATACTCCTATGTGGTTCAGGATAATTAAAATAGATTTGTAAGCCTATAAATGGAATTACCATAGATGTGACAACTATTAATGCAGACACATGTTGATTTGTGACTCATGTATCATTAACATCATTATTGTCATTGGTGAAATGGTGTCTTAGTCCATTCAGACCACTATAACCAATCTGTAGATGGGGGCTTATAAATAGTAGAAATTATTTTTCACAGTGTAGTTCTGAAGGTTAGGAAATTTCACAAAATCAAGGTGACAGCAGATTCAGTGTCTGGTGATGGCCTGCTTCCAGCTTCATAGAGGGCTGTCTTTGCTCGCTCACATGGTGGAGGGAGCTCTTTGGGGTCTCTCTTATTTTACAAAATCCCATTCATGAGGGTTCTGTGCTCATGACCTCCAAAAGGCCCTGTCTACTAATACCATCACATTGGGGATTAGGTTCCAACAGACAAAGAGTGATCTTATTTTGCTAATATGGTAGTTAGATTGATGGAAAAATGTGTCTTAGTAAAACTATATTTTGAGAATTTATATGTAAAGCTGAGTTAGATAGATTCTAGGCTTAGATAATTTATGAATTAGTTTTCCCTCTAAGTGAATATCTGGTAAGACCTTTGAAATTTGTACCAGACAGGAAAAAAAAGTCATTTTTTGTCTGATTCTTTGAAAGATACCAAGCATCCTTAACCCACTGCTTGCCAGTCATTAAGACATGCTGAAACCCATCCAAGAAGAGGGTATCACCTTTATCCAGAGCTAACCTTCTCAAGTATGCTTTTATTTTAATTCTTCATCTTAAAACCAAAGCTGTCTTTTGCAGATTAGTCCTATATCCTCAGGGCATTCACATGCTGGAAAAGAAAATAAACTAATAACCACTGGGGTGGGGGAGGCACTCATTTAAGTAAGCTTCTTCACTGAGAGGTTCAAGTTTGTGAAGCAGTTACTTTCTCTGAAGCAATATCATAACAGCGTTTTCTTGTTTCTTCCTCATAGTTACTGTGATATGGAAGATGTGTACATTTTTTTATTATTTATTTATTTATGATAGTCAGAGAGAGAGAGAGAGAGAGAGAGAGAGAGAGAGAGAGAGAGGCAGAGACATAGGCAGAGGGAGAAGCAGGCTCCATGCACCGGGAGCCCGACATGGGATTCGATCCCGGGTCTCCAGGATTGCGCCCTGGGCCAAAGGCAGGCGCTAAACCGCTGTGCCACCCAGGGATCCCAATGTGTACATTTTTAATCAAGATTCTTTCTAGCCCCTCTCCTGATGACACAGAAAGTACTTTCACCCTCTGATTGTAGACAGGACTCTCTGATTGTGTGGATGGGACAGAGAAAAATTTGCATAGCTCTTAGTTCGGCACTAAGAATTTAACTATTGGGGGAATCATCGTTTCAGGAAGTCCTGTGTCATTATTGCCAGAAATTTAAGGACGATGCCTATTATTTGGAGTGGAAAATGGATAGCTCTCTCTTTAACAAGGGAGGCCAGGTTTATTCTGTGAACCTAATTTTAAGATATTGATAATGTGATTTACCTAGCTAAATAACCACCTTTACCTTTTCTTCTCAAATAACTGCAGTGAATTTTCAGCAATTTTTGTACTAGACACAGTGTGCAACTGAGTTATTTATTTCTAGTAATGCCCTAATGCCAGATGATGTGCATACCATATAATCTATCATGACAGATGGTTGCAAATGGAACTATAAATACTTGTTTATTTGTAGGAATTTATATTCCAGCAATGTTTGATGTCTCAATTTTTCCTGCCTTATTATCTCTTAAGGTGGATTTTAATGCTATTTTATAAATGTGGCATTTGATAGTCTAATAACGCCTATCTTTTCATCTCATGTTTCAGCTCTTGCTTTAAATGAAGAAACTTGGATCCGTCAGGATTTTCATTCTTCTGAAGTATTTCATACTATGATACTGATGAGAAAAACATACTTGACAAATTTTTTTTGCAAATCTATATTTACTTCTATATCTACAGTCCCAGTTATACTGTGACTTCACTATAGCTAAGAACACTTTAGAACTATCACTGTAGTATCTACTTGTAGTGACCCTCTTTTTCATACAAATCTTCTTGTAATAAAGAAGAGGGAGATTTTGTTTCAATCCAGATACTGTGTTCCAGTTAGGAATACAATTCTCACTTCCAAACCAATTGTGGACTTGTCCAATTCCTTAAGTGCAGGATGTTGAAACTTTCTTGGTATTCTTTCTACCATCTTCTCACCAAAGATAAGCAAATTAAGGGAGAAGCACAAACTGACACTGTTTTTCACTTTTGTTACCTGTTTTGGCCCTCAAAAAAATCTTAGCAAGTTGATGCTTTTTTTTCCCCCAGATTTCATGTGAGAAAATCATTTTGGGGATTTACTTAGTTACCCAAAATAAAACTTAAGTGTGGCGTTTAAAAACATTGGGCTTGGAAGTCAGATAGATTTGAGGTTCAAATCTTTGTTCTTCCCTTGAACAAGGTAGGGTTTGACTTTAGGGATGTCGACTCTGATCCTTGGGTTTTATGCATGTAATATGAATGATACCTAATGAAGAATGCTGTGTAGATTAAAAGTGACAATGGATGCAAAGTATCAGATATATAGATAATGTCTCATACATAGTTATTCCAGAAATGGCAACTGTTAATGGTGTCAGTAGTGTTCCAAAGATTGCAAGTAGTAGAACCAAGAATTAGATAATGTCAAATGTGAAAAGTACTCATGCTATTACTAGTTATTTTCATTTTTAAAAAAAGGACAGCCTGGGTGGCTCAGTGGTTTAGCACTACCTTCCACCCAGGGCCTGATCCTGGAGACCTGGGATCGAGTCCCATGTCGGGCTCCCTGTGTGGAGCCTGCTTCTCCCTCTGCCTGTGTCTCTGCCTCTCTCTCCTCTCTGTGTATTCTCATGAATGAATGAATAAAATCTTTTAAAAAAAATAGTTATTCTAAGTATAACCTCCATTAATAGAAGACAACTATTTATGGAGTAGTCAACAATTGAATTTATAACTTTGGCAACTTATGGGAAATTATTTTTTTTAACTTATGGGAAATTATTATTTTTGTCAAATGTTTTAGAAAATTACTTCAAGAAAAATGGAATTGATAAAAAGCACAGAAGATTTAGTCTGGTTTACAAAGAATTTTGTCTAAGGATGCCTGGGTGACTCAGCGTTAAGTGCCTGCCTTTGGCTCAGGTTGTGATCCTGGAGTCCCGGGATCGAGTCCCACATTGGGCTCCCTGCATGGAGCCTGCTTCTCCCTCCACCTGTGTCTCTGTCTCTGTCTCTCATGAACAAATAAACAAAATCTTAAAAAAAAAAAAAAAAAACTTTGCTGATTCATTTGCAAATATTTTCTGTAGAAATTGACAAGATACTTCACTCCTTGAGTATTTATTTATTGAATGTCTGTTATGTACGTAGCTGTCTGCTATGTGCAAGAAGTGTATTTGTAAATAGGTAGATTTGTCTTTAAGATGTATGGCCTAGTTTCTCAAGTTTTTTGTTGTTGTTGTTGTTTGTGTTTTTTTTTTTCTTGTAATTGCCATTGTCATAGTGAGTCAGCTTGCTCCAATAAGCACAGAATGCAGAATTGCATTTCATTATACTGAACAGTTAGCAGAAATCTGATTCTTTACACTGGAAGCAGAAAAAAATTGTTTTCTTCTTCTGTGGACTTGAGATTATTGATATTCTGGAATGCTGTGGTCATAGCAGGGAAGATCAGTATTAAGGATGTGATATATTTGGTCATTTTACTTTTGATTTTACCACCAATGAAAATATCATGGTTACCAAATGAGTATGATGCTCTTGACATGCTCTTTGCTGTTTGTCATTAACATTCATACTTCAACTGAAAATGAAAAACAAGAATGAGGTGCTCTTTGTATTTAGGAAGGGATGAAAGAGTTGAACTGACTTATATATGGCTATGATCTTGAGAGACCAACATCAGCATCTTTATGTTAAAGCTGATGTTCTTGCTATTTCAATTATGCCATTTTCAGGGTGCTGTGAAAAGGTTTGAATTTCCTTCTTTCTGAGCATGTTTCTGTTGTAATATTTTATTAACTGATTGTCATATTTTGATCAGGAAAAAAACTATCTATGAAGCTTTGATTGTAATCGTAAAAGCCAGATTTTTTTTAACTCTATGCTAAAAATTTGTGATACATTTAAAAATATGATTACCTAAAATAAAACATATAGATGAGTACTTATTAAGAAGAAGTCTGTAAGATGTCATTAACTTCTTGCTTTTGGACTATTAATGTATAATATTATATAACATTTAATAACATAAATTTCTGATTGATATTTTCACTAATAGACATAAATGACTTAGAAGTATTTTATGACTGTTTTGATCCATTCTCTGTTGAAGGCACATTTTATAATTTCATATTAATTGACTATGATATTATCAGCTATAAATTGTTCACTGGTATTAATAAAAAATAATAACATGATAATCATGTTGGGATAAACAAAGGTTATTACTAGGATCCCTGGGTGGCGCAGCAGTTTGGCGCCTGTCTTTGGCCCAGGGCGCGATCCTGGAGACCCGGGATCGAATCCCACATTGGGCTCCCGGTGCATGGAGCCTGCTTCTCCCTCTGCCTGTGTCTCTGCCTCTCTCTCTCTCTCTGTGTGTGTGACTATCATAAATAAATAAAAAAAAATTAAAAAAAACAAAGGTTATTACTACTGAACAAAATTAACTTTGCTAGTCCTTTTGCAATTAAGTACTTGCCTATGCAAATAGCTTTCCGTAAGCAAAGCACAATGTTACCTGAATTAAAAAGAATATAGAATAAGAAACTGGTTTCTTTTACAAAAGGATAGCGTTATTTCTGAGATTTTTATCTAAAGGATAGCACCTCTGAAGTTTTTTTTTTAATAGCTGAATAACAAATGTCCATGAACACATTCATTTATAAGCTAAATTTCATCATATTCTTAATGGTGTTCTAGGTGTTAGGGTCTCTTTTAGGTAGTCTAAGAATTATTATGGTATAACATAAGATACGGTTATATTTTTTATTGCACACAGATCTTTTTTAAAGTTTTTTTTAATTTATAAAAACTGTTATAATTTTTTTTCAGTTTGATTTGGTTTTATTTTTTGCAGAACGCCCCCTTCACTATACAGAAAATGTGTTGGAACAGGTTCTTCGGTGGAGTTCATTAGCTGAACCTGGCTCTGCATATCTTGTGGTGAAGAGATTCTTAACCATTGACACAATTAAACACTATAATGGTAGGTGTTGTTATTTCATGTTGCAACCACAATTGAAAATTCAGGTGACAAAAGGCTAATTATTATGGCATAAGTATTATTTGATAATGTAAAAAATGGGAAGCTAAATATAGAACCTACTTGATACAGTATTGTAGAATAAGAAGAAAAATATATAGACAGGAGTACCAAGTGTCAGATTCAGATTTTTGGAGAATAGCACTTAGCTAATAGTGGCTAATTTGACAGTCCCAAGTTGAGGTTTTTTTGGAATGAGTGGTTTATTTTTAAAAGGAACTTTTTGTAATACTTAATGTACTTTTCTAATTTTTAGGTAGATAATGATTCTTCTTCCTGAATTTTCTAGGCATAAAGAGGTGCAAGTTATACATGCTCTGACACTGAGTGCTTGTTGTTATTCCCACTTATTTTGGGGTGATATTAGAAAAAAATAAGTACAACATGGCATACTTCCAATAAGGATACTTGCCACCCAGATGGGAGAAAACGTGTACACATGTAATGTTAAATAAGTTAGCTAGCACAAGGAAAACATGCCAGCCTCACAAGGGTTCAGAGACCGTTTATCTCAAAACTGATTCTTCCATTGTCATTAACTGACAAATTGGAAAAAAGATTTTCAGCCAGGACTCTATATAAACCAACTCTGAAAGCCAAGGATTTAAGCTTTATAAGATAAAATTTACAACTTTTACAACTGATATTAATAATAACTGTTACTATTTATTAATCACATAGCATTAACTGAGGTCTATACCTAGCAAAGCTCAATTAAAGTCTTTTTTAAACTTCCCAGTGATTATATTGTCATTTGAAATTTCCAAATGGGGAAAGAGAAGTACAGAGAAATGAAGTAATTTGCCCCAGATCATACAGTTACTAAATATTGGATTTGAGAACAGATTGGTCTGTCTTCTAATTTTATCTGTATGTACAGCTCTTAAATGCTGTAAACCTGCTTAGAAGGATTTCACGCTCTCCAGCTAATAGCCATAGAGCACTAAGCTCTTAATTGTACCATAGCCAATCTGATAAATTTCTGATTTCATGATAATGTCCTAATCTGTTCTGGTGGCTATAACTACAATAGTCTGGCTGGCTTATAAACAAAAGAAATTTATTTCTCACGGTCTGGAGATTGGAATTCTGTGATGAAGATGCCAGCATGGTCAAGTTCTGGTGAGAGCCTTCTTCGGTTGCAGACTTCCTTTCTTCTTGTATCCTCACAGGGTGGAGAGCAAAGAAAGGAAGCAAGCTCTCTTGTGACTCTTACTAGGACACTAGTCCTGCATGAGGGCTCCACCCACTGGCCTCATCTAACCCTAATTACCTTCCTAAAGGTCCCACTTCTTGCTATCATCATACCAGGAGGTAGGGTTTCAACATATGAATGGGGGGGGGGGGACACAACATTCAGTCCATCACGTGTCCCTAATATTTTATAGATCTATCCTCTATCTTATAATTACCTGAAAGCATTTTTTCAAAAGGTGAGCAATATAACAACTTCTGTGTCACTCTGGTCTTCTAGGCATCTAAATAAACAGAACAAGTATTATTGTTCTTGCTGGAGAAATTTAGCCTTTTAGGAACCATGATCTTGTTTTAAATTCCTTTAATATGTCTGCATATGTGTTTGACAACATGCCTATACCTCTTAAGGATTGCAACAGAAATTTTCTCTAGTCACACAAATGGGACATGATGTTGTAGAGCAGTGGTTCTCAGGTTGGTGCACTTTTGTTCTCCAGGGGACATTTGGAAATGTCTGCAGACATTTCTGATTCCCAACTAGATGGAGTGATGTTTCTGGTATTTAGTGAATAGTGACTGGAGATGCTGCTAATCATCCTACAAAACACAGGAGAGCTCTTCACAAAGAATTATTTGGCTCAAAATGTCAGTGGGTGCCCATGTTGAGAATCTACCATTTAGATAATCTATGAAATCTCTACTAGCTCTTAAATTCTCTTATTCTTTTATGTTGACACTGAGATGAAGAAAAAGTATTGAGCTTATGAACCAAGTCCTGTCAACATTATGAAGTATATATAATAGGTTCTCATGGTTTCTTTTCTTTTACTAAGTCATCTTTTCAGGTACATTTTTGTTTTCCTGGTATGAATTCTCCTTTTCCTTTTTTTAGTGTTCCTCCTAAATGTCTCCAAATTTACCATGTTGCAAAATAGTTGAGCCCATACCTAGGCATAATACCTTAGCCCTTTTGAATGCTAATGGATTGGCTAGGTGAATAAAAACAGACTAGACCTTAAAAGGTTGTGATATAAAAGAAAGTTTTGTGCAGGTAGGGGTGAGAGATAACCAATGCAAGGATACCATCAAATGCTGTTGATCTTAAAGAAAAGAAAAGAAAAAAAAAGAAAAAAAAAAGACAGTGTGTACAATGGGCTGGTTGAGAGCAATCACATCTAAGTAGAATCTTTAAGTTGATCTTTAAGCAAACTGCATTGGCTCCTTTTACAACTGGGTCAGAGATTAGGTGTTATAATGATGCCTCACATGTTTCTGTGTGTCCTGTTTATGGGGTTCTGAGTGTGTCTCTCTGGTGTGAAAGCATCAGGATTCTGTAAGGCGTAGACAAAACATCTGCAAGAAAACTGGAGAACCCAAGCAGTGGAAAGCAGGCTCAAACCATAGGTTGAGGGATTTGGATGAAACATTCTCTAGGGTAAAATGGCAGCAAACTTTTGTGTTACTCTCACATCTTGTTCATTCCTCTAATGGAGGGAGAGCCATAAAATGCATGCCTATCCCCTGCACTATCCCTACCTGTTTGCCAAACCAGTATCCAACTTGTTATTATAATATCTGTAGTTCTTTCTACCAGGAAATTATTTCTCTTTGCATGAAAAACAAGAGTCAGGTTTTAGAGGAACACATCAGCAAATAGATCAACTGGACCATTTTATATTAGTAGTTATGTATTTTTGGTCAAAAATAGGAGTACCTATACAGTAAATATTTCAAAAACTTTTTTTGTCTTCTACCCAATAAAATTTTTATAAATGTTTTTAATTAGAGCTTGATTTATATTCAGATTGTCAAAGCAAAATAATCTCTTTCATTATGGTTTGTTCTGCATCTGTGTGAATTTAGGATTGCCATTTTAAAGCAACTCTGGCCTATTGTTTATTTTTTAAATCAATTTCTTAAGTCATGATTTTTTTCCTATCATTGTATCTTGCAGTAACCCGGAGCTTATAAATACTTCTTATGGGGTATATTTTGTGATAAATTTTAGGTCGGTTAGATATTCAGTCTACTTTATCTCTGTCTTGGCAAATGTCTCCTAAATCAATCACAATGACCACCTACTCCAGAATTATTGCTCTGTTCATTACACCCACTGCTCCTTAAAATTGAGATCTAAAAGGAAAGTAATGAAAGTAAATCAAATGTGATTTCTCTGTCAATTTGTTAGCAGAAAAACTGGAATCATCTCAGAAATACATTGTTCTGCACGGCAGAAAAGGAATAGTGTGACGGATTTCTTTTTCTTAAGATTTTCTTTTTCTAACCTGGGGACCAAGTGGAAATTAGCAGAATTTGAAACAAGGGTAGTTGGTTGGGACCACATTTTTTTCTTAGTAACAAACAGCTAATGTTTTAACATTTTGTTAAGATATAAAGTAGCCCTACCACATCCTTTGCACTCTTTCCATACTTGATGTCTAGTTGCCACCGGTCTTACGATCTGCCCACCTGTCCCTATCTCTATTCCCATATCTACACATACAAATATATGTATGTGTGTTTATACATATACACGACTTGGATTTTATTAAGTGCATGTTAGTTTTTCTGATTTACGTAACAAATTACAAGCATATACTTTTGTTTGATGCTACATTTCGGCACCTATTTGCTAAATCAAGAATTTTATCAAATAATAAGTTTAAGGGCTTAGGAGTTTTTTTCATTTCCTTAGTTTTTTACTTTATCTGAACAATTTAAAATGTCGACATCACAAGTAGGAGTGGATTTTAGAATCATCCAACACTTAATTTCTGCTCATTGATTTAAGGTAATGAGGTAGCATACTTTACTTTTATAAAAGTATATGAGCATAAATAAATTTTGTGCTGCCTCTAGTTAGAAATCAATTCTGTGTTCTTCAAAACAGCATTTTATTTCTTAGAAGCATCTTATGCCATTGCCATTATTGTAATGAGGAGTTAACTAACTTGAAATGAAAGATAATAGTCCTCAAATTTCTTTTCTACCCCATGGATTATGACTGAGACATTACGATAGGGAGAATAAAACTTCATTTAAATTGCCATTTAGATTTTGTCATAGCTAATCTCATTAGACTGTCTTTTGTTATCATTATGTCTTGTATTGAGTTAAGCTTCAGTATCTCTATCGTGAGTAAACCATAAATGAATACCTTCTGTAAGGCTCCAGAATAAATAATTTTATGTTGCTAAAGTCTTATTTTAAGCATTAAAGATCTTTAAAATTACCCCAATAGAATGTAGTACATTGGAATCAAGTTTTAATGATCTCAATGGGGAAGAAACACTTTTAAAAAGATATAAGATGTAACTCAAATGTGTATCCCTTTGGGTTTCTAAATTTAGATTGCTGCATATGACAGATGCTTTGGAATTAAATTTGCATTAGAATAGGATAGTTCAAAATGCAACTGCTTCTGGCAAATACAGACCTGGAAAGCTGAACCATCCACTATCAACTGACTTAGGAAAATAAAAGAAAATAGTGTGAGTCCATAAATCATAGTCTAGCTGAAATAATTTACTTTCCACTCCCCATCAAATCTTTTTGAATCCAAAGGTGTATAAACGTTGAAGGTAAGCCTTGTCCATGTCAAAAGGAAGTATCCTCTTGGAAATCGATAAGTCTTCGATACTCACTATGAAGAATGAATGTTCTGACTATTTTTAATATTATAATTCTGTAGTTAGAAAATCAACTGCTGAGTTTTTATCAGGAATCTACCAGGCATCTACTGTGGA